TACTTTTATTACATTTGCTTTTTGAAAAGTCATAGTTAAACCCATTTTCTCTAATTATCACTGCCAAGGATAGAATAGTACCCATTGACCCTATGTAAATGAGTGAGTTAGCATGTTTTTTTCCCCTCGGCATTTGTTTTCTAACTGAGATTCAGATGATTATGACATTTTTACATTAAGTCTCATCTTAAGAATTATTTTTGAGATTTACATAAGTTTTAAACCACAATGATCTAGATTTAACTTGTTTTGCAGCTTATTTTTCAAAGTGGATGTACCATTTTATATTCCTACCAGCAAAGAATGAGGTTTCCAATCTATCTATGTCCTCAACGACATTCATTATTATTCTTCTTTTTGACTGTAGCCATCCTAGTGGCTGTGAAGCAGTATCTCATTGTGGTTTTCCCTGATGGCTAAAAATTTCCCAGATGGCTAGTGATGTTGAGCATCTTTTTACTTGCTTACTGGCCATTTGTATATCTTCTTTGGGGAAATGTCCATTCAGTTCCTTTGCTCATTTTTAAATTGGGTTATTTGTCTTATTGAGCTATAAGAGTTTTTATGTATTCTACATACACATCTTTTATCAGTTATATGACTTGCAAAAACTTTCATTTTGTGGGTTGTCTTTTCACTTTCTTGATGGCATCCTTTGAAGCACAATAGTTTTAAATTTTCCTGATGCTCAATTTGTCTATTTTTTTCTTTTGGTGTCATATCCAAGAAACCATTGCCTGATCCAAGGTCACAAAGATTTATGCCTGTTTTCTTCTAAGAGTTTTATAGTTTTAGATCTTACATTTAGATCTTTGATGCATTTTGACTTTATTTTTTGTATGTGGTGTGAGGTAGGAGTCCAACATCATTCTTTTGCATGTGTATATTCAGTTGTCTTAGCACCATTTGTTGCAAAAACTATTCTTTCTCCATTGGATTGTCTTGGCACTCTTGCCAAAAATTGACCATAAGTGTTTGGGTTTATTTCTGGATTCCCAATTCTATTTCTCTGATCTATATGTTTATTCTTATGCCAGTACCATATTTTCTTGATTGCTATAGCATTTTAATAAGTTTTGAAATAAGAAAGTATGAGTTCTTCAAATTTGTTTTTCTTTTTCAAAATTGTTTTGGCTATTCTGGGTTCCTTAAATTTCCAAATTAATTTTAGGATCAGCTTGTCAGCTTCTACAAAAAATCCAACTGGCATCTTGAGAGGGATTGCATGGAATCTTCAGATCAATTTTTGGGGAGTATTACCATCTTAACTATATTAAGTTTCCTGATAATGAACATGGGATATCTTCTTAGGTCCTCTTTAATTTCTTTCAATAATGTTTTGTAGTTTTCAGAATTTAAATTTTGTGCTTTTTTGGTTAAATTTAATCCTAAATATTTAATTCTTTTAAATGCTATCTTAAATAGAATTTTCTTAATCTCATTTTCGGTTTTTTCATTGCTACTATATAGAAATACAGTTGATTT